AGCCCTCCTCTGTAATAATTGAGTGTTCCGCCATGTTGTAGTTCTGACCTTCTGCTTGTTGCCAGTTTTATACAACTTGCCGCTTTAAAGCAAGTGAGACCAACTTCTTATCAGTCATCTGATACACGATTATCTTTATTAAGTCGAAAGAGCCAGAGATGGAGCTTTCCAAGTAAAAAATAGGCACTTCCTGTTCTGAGGGGGCAGGGCTTAGATGAAGTCAGACAATGACAATATAGGATCATAAGGGATCCAACCAGGATCACTCATGTCAAGTTTGGTGCAGCTCTGCTCAAAATTGTGGAATCTAGAGCCAAACTTATTGCAATGGCATTACAGGTCGCTTCGCTACGCCGCCACGCCCACCTAGTCCATCAAAAACAAACCGGGTTGGAATCCAAATTACACCAACATGTTTCATGTCTGTAGACACAGTTTCATCTTGATTAGGTCAAAGGGGTTAGAAAGGGATCGTTCAGAGTAAAACATGACACTTCCTGTTCTCAGGGGGCGTGGCCTAAGTGACGTCATCATTTGACCGTTGGGTATTGTAGAGCATCCCATGATGATCAATCACTGAAAGTTTGGTGCTTCTATGAGTTTTTTTCAAAGAGTTATAACAGTTTGATGTTTCATGGCGAATCGGTGACCTTTGACCCCAGGAAACCCCCCTTCAACAGGCACGAAAACTCAAACCTTTTATAACTTTTAATCGGCCATGCCTTATGAACGATCTGACCGAGTTTGAAGCCGATCGATCGAAATCCCTAGGAGGCGTTCGATCAAATGTGAAGGCTGTAAACGGCCAAAATGGTGTCAAAATCGGAACTTCAATCCAAAATGGCTGACTTCCTGTCATACTTGCACTATGACATTAATGTAAATTCTGAGCGTCTTGGGGAGCTCTACAAGTGCACCAAATTTCAAGTCTCTACGATGAAGTAAGGCAATAGGAAAGAGTCTTTTGAAAGTTGCTAGGTGGCACCATTGAGCTGTTTTTTTTTTTACGATTTTGCGATTTTTACGATTTTTGCGTTGACCTTAAAATACGTAAATTTTTCACAGTCTGCATCTGCCAAGTTTGGTAAGTTTTTGAATATGATAAAGCCTCCAAAAAGCCAATGTATTTTACGGAAGCATAATAATTTACAGCACAATTTCAATAGGCCTTCGCAGCGCTTAGCTGCTCGGGCCTAATTAATTTTAAGATGAATTGATCACCAGGGTTATCCCAAGTCCCAAAACTGCCAGGTAGTTTTGGAATTTTAATTGAAGCTCAGCTTTATTTTGTCATCACTTTTTCTTTGTCTAATTCAGTTGGTTTTAATTATTTTTTAGAGTATGTTGGGTAGTTTTTATTAGTTATTCATGCTTGTATATGTGTCAGTATAAACTTATGAATTTAAAGACAGCGAAAAAAAAAATAATAATTTGATTAACCTGACCTAATACAAGAAAGCTTCAATCTGTGGGGGGAAAAAAAAAAACTTTTCAAGGTTTCTAAAGATGTTTCTGCGCTCATCTGAAATGTCTAAAGAGAAACTGAAAATAAGTTTTAGATCAGACAGAATAGAACAGAAATTGGGGTTCAGCCGCCTGCTGTCTGATAGCTCAGTGTTAGCTCCACTGCAGAGCATTCAGAGCAGCCTTAAGGCAACCAGCTACAGAAGTTGACACACACTCTGTTTTTAGGTTTCCAAAGACTTTTTTCCATTTTGTTTCTTCTGTCTTTGTGAGGTGTGCAGGTTTTTTGGGGGGTTTTTTGTTTTGTTTTGTTTTGTTTTGGGGGTTTTTTCTCCAAAATTAGAATGAGTTTAGAAGCTGGTATTTGTGGGAGGTAAGCAGAGAGATTCTAAAGATTAAATGAACAACTTCAGTGGTCATCTCTATTATTTCATATTTTTCTGTATGAGAAGTGAAGATGAGGACAACATTTTTATGTTATGGTGACAGGCAGCACTGTCAGGGCATTTATACTAGTAATAATTTGTGTACTAACTCACCATAAAGAGATTTATTTATTAAGATAAATACTAACAAATTTTTCATTGTCTTTCACTGGCATGGAATAATTAGCTAATGTTCTTTTCAATGTTTTCAATTGTTCCAAAATGAGTAGAACTTAAAATAAACACAAATAATACAATTAAATCAAAATGTTCAATCCGACATTTGTATCGGATGTCGATACGAATGTCGAGTTTGCTGATTCAGCTGGTTAATGGAGGCGGGGCTTGACTTTCTTCGTTCTTAACATTTGGAGCTCTGAACCTTTAAATAGTGCTTAACAGAATTACCTGTAATTCTATCAAATTTGACAAATGACTCCAGCAGTTTGCTGTAAATCCCCTGTTCGCTCTTTGTCTCCTAAGCTCGCCGTCTCCATTCCGGTTGAGTCGGGATGATTCCTCCTGATAGAAAGGAGGACGAGGATTAGCAGAACCTCGGCTCGCGTATTAAATCATCTTCCGCTTGATCCGCTTTCGCTCTGTCGTTCATCTTCTCCTCCGTCACACTTCCTCTCCTCCGTGCCAGGTGCTCCTTGTGCGGCTACGTGTGCAGCCATCCGCCATCGCTCAAATCCCACATGTGGAAGCACGCCGGGGACCAGAACTACAACTACGAGCAGGTCAACAAGGCCATCAACGAGGCCATCTCCCAGAGCAGCCGGTAAGCACTGTTCACTGTTCAGGCTGGAAAAGGTCTGCAGATGTGGGCAGCCTGAACGTTTCTACATTTTGCAGAAAACCTGTAGTGTGTTTTATTGGGATTTCTTGTGATGGATCAATGCAAGAGGCGATGTACACCCAGGACAGACAGCCTGTTGGACAGGCAGCAGAGACCAGTTACAGGCTGTCCATGCATCTTTAAAATGTCTTAAATTCATGTATTTAAAATGAAGGTGTTAAATTCTTTTTAAAAAGAGAGATAGTTGGCCTTCAATTTATTAATCACATTTTTATTTAATCTTGAATATTCTACGCATTTGTTTTTCTCAATGGACTTTTCTGTCAGACAAAAGGTTGAGTTGCACGCAGACATCTTCAATGGATTCTGTGACTCATGGCCAATGAGGCTATAGCAACTCACTGCTAACATACCCTTGCTGGCTAGCTTTTTTGCGCTTATTATGGGTAAGTGTAAATTTATTGGCAGTTGACTGGAGAAAGTTGACATAAAGGTCTTTTATGTGAATCGATTCATAAAGGCCTTAGTAAAAAGTCTTAAAATCCTGATTTAACTCCAGTCATGTTGTTGGACTGTGGGAGGAAGTCGGAGCACCCTGAGGGAATCCTCACTTCCTGTGGCAGGAAGAGAATTTAAACTCCATGCAGAAAATTCCTAGAATGGGATTCCCACCCCAGACCTTCTGTGACCACATACGGTCCTCTTTTCAACATGTTCCACAAGTAAAGATCTGAAAAGTGCGGCATACAGTATTATTGATCCCTATTTAAATCACTAACGGCATCATGCTGTGTGGATGCTTTTCCTCAGCAGGAACAGGGTAACTGGTGTGGAGATGGATGCAGCTGAAATGGCCTTATTCATACTTTTATGTCACACAGATTATGACAGTAGACGTCATCATCTGTAGCTGTCCACTAGGGGTCTCTGTGGACGTCTGCATTCTGAGCATCATTCTGTTAAACGAGTGCTTTGGCAGGAATAATAATAGGCACCAAACACACAGTATTAGTAGAAAAATAAAGGAATAAGATCATAAACAGAAAAAGAAAGTTGTTCCCAGTGTGGATCATCTATCTTATCTTGCAACGCTGAATAATTTTAAAATGGATCCATAGACCGAGGTGACCGTTATTACTTTGGACATTGACCTCTAAATTCTTCTTCTGTGCATGTGGATCGCTTTGGAGTCATAAACCCTTCACTTAGAAATCAGATTTAATTGGCATGAACGACTCGGCCTGTCACAATAAGTAATCGCTCAATTAATGATGATTATTTGAACGTTAGGACATGTGAGATTATGGAAAAGTTAGATTTTTGTGAAACTCTGCCATATGCTGTGGATTCCTCCCTGAAGCTGACTTGTGTTCCCTTCAGAGTGTCTCAGAGGCGGCCTGCTGGCCTGGAGTCTGGGGCCGAGTGTCCAGCGGTGATCCTGCCTTTAAAGGAGACGGCCAGCAGCCAGGTGGACCCTCACCCAACACACACATCAGTAACAAAAGCCTCTCTACCTTCTGACAGCCCGCCCGGACCACCCACACCCCCTCCAGACTCCACCCAGGGTCCTGCCCAGGGGAAGCGCCCGGGGCCCGCCACGACGGGGCCCACCACGACGGGGCCCGCCACGACGGGGCCCCCGACGGAGTACTGCATGCTGTTGTTCTGCTGCTGCATCTGCGGCTTCGAGTCCACCAGCAAGGAGCGTCTGATGGAGCACATGAAGGAGCACGAGGGCGACATCATCAGCATCATCCTCAACAAGGAGCAGCAGCAGGAAGCGGAGGCCCAGGCCGGCCTCCAGATGGCAGAGTGACATGCATCCGTATGTGATGAGGTCAGAGGTCACTCAGGCTGTGTCACACAGGCACCTTTTATAGGTTTCAGGAAGAGGAATGTGATTTTAATCCGTTAGTCAAATCCTTTCCCTTACAAAGCTTCAGCCCAAGTTCAGACAGTAATAAGCTCAACCTTCAATAAATCACAAAACATTTAGCTATTTACTTCCCTAATTTGATTACTTTTCTATAACGGCAGCTCTTTCATTGCTACTGTAGTATTTACCGTGTTTGGTGCGACATGGCTGAGGTTCTCATCCTGTAAAGAGTTAGCAACACAACTTCAACCCCACATCGCTGCTCCAACAGAAGGAATATTTATCTGTTTGTTTTTCCGTTAGCTGCCAGTTTGGAGAGAGGTGTTAGTTTCTTTAAGTTTGTTGTATGGTTTATAAAGTAGAGAAGGAAGTGGAAGTAATACACATTGACTGAGGGGTTGTTGTAAATGCCTGTAGACAAAAGGAATGACAAAAAGGGAAGTCTGTTAGTATGTTAGTTATTTGAATCTACCAGTGCCAAGGTTAGGATGTAGGAAAGGAGTCACGGTTATCTCTCATGTTTGTGGTGCTATGTTCATTTGAAAGCAAAAATTTGTATGTATTTTTATATCTCCTGCTGTTTATGTTGTTTGTGTGAGTGTGTGCGTTTAGTAAAGTTTTTATTATATTTTAACGTTCTCAAAAGTACAAATCATCTTCTGACCAGAGCGTTTCTAAACACAGCGGACCCCCTCCACTCACGGTTCAGTACTTAGAAATTATCCCATGGACATGATTTCAAATTATTTGCAGAAAATCCACCCATTTATTAATAGGTTTTGTAAATATTCTACAAGAAAATTCCACTTGGGAAGTGAAACTACTTAAAAGCAATGCTACTTGACACACCATTGGCTGGCGTTAGCAAAGCAGCCAATCCAGAAGCGCTATTCGTTTTCAAGATAGATGAGGAAGACTCACCTGTCTTGAAAACGAGATAGATGAGTCTTGTTTGGCAATAGCGTTAAGACGCTTTCCACTGTGTGTGTTAATGCATATTAAGGTATATCTGGTGTTTGAGCTGTTAATATAGCAGTTGTAAGCATTTTTAGACGGGGTGTTCTAGGAGTTTTGAATCTATCCAGATGTATCGGCCAACTGGATGATCAATATGTGGATCATGGCACTTACAACATCACATTCCACCAAATATTCTATCCAAGCAGTCCAGGAATAAGGTGGATTAGAAGTTTGGATTAAAACAGATTGGTTATTGCAAGTTGGCTCACAACAAAGCTACACTAAAAAGGATTACATGAATATTTGATAAATATATTGTCTCAAAGAGTGTACGAAGAGTTTAGCTGAAAGCGGTCGTACATTTTCTAAAATATGTTGGTTGCACTTAGTGTTAGGAATCCCAGCATAAATCCTCATGAAACATTTTACATTAACAAAAAAAAAAAACATATTTATGTATGAACTCATTCTCCTTGCTCAGCTGCTAGTTAGCATTAAGTGACAGCTCAGCATGCTAGTAGATTTTTAGCTCATGTTTTAGTTCAATCCATCCAGGTTGTTACTGTTTAATTTAGTTGTCTTTAATAATGTGGGATATCAGCCTCTTGTAAAAACTTGTAAAATATAGAAATTTGGAAATTTAAGGAACATCAAAGATTGAATTTACAGAAAATTGGGAAATAAATGCATTGAACTCCAAGTTAGCCTGGGTTAGCCAGTTTCAAGTTGCCAAAGAAAACTTTCCAACACCTTTAAACTGGCAAAATGATGAAATTCTGCACACAAGTCTACTAGTGGGTTTGAGTTTTGCTTTTATTTTGTAGGTGAAGATTATCTGAAATGTAATGTTACACCAGAGTTAATTAAACTTATTCAAATGTGTTGTACACTATCTTTCAATAATTACCAGAACAATAATTACCTTTGTTGGTTAAATGCCCAGAAGTTTAAAATTTGATATTTTAATTAGAAAGCCGTTTTTTCAGTAACACTTTATTTGAAGGGGGGTGAATAAGACTGTCATGACACTTTCATAAACATGACATAACACCTGTCATGAACATGAATAAGCCTTCATGAATATTTATGAATGTTGTCATAAAGTGTCATTTGGTAAATTATGACACTTTTAATACAAAGTTGACATGATACAAAATGTCTTTGTTATGACAACTTGACATTAACTAAGAAATCATTACTGTTTAAACTTTACCTTTAATAACATAAATATACCTAATTTTTAAAGTGAAATCAGTAATTATTTTATAACAAATTTATATCAGTAATGATTTCCTGGTTAATGTCAAGTTGTCATAACAAAGACATTTTGAATAATGTCAACTTTGTATTAAAAGTGTCATAATTTACCGAATGACGCTTTATGACAACAGTCATAAATATTCATGAAGGCTTATTCATGTTCATGACATGTGTTATGTCATGTTTATGACGGTGTCATGACAGTCTTATTCACCCCCCTTCAAATAAAGTGTTACAGTTTTTCCTTATGCTGCTTCCTGAAAGGCTAAATTTCTGGTAACTTTGCACAATTAGTAACCAAGCTGTGGTGTGTTGTCACAGAACACACCACATATAATTTATAATCCACCTGTTTTGAAACATTTTCCCTCCTTTGAAACGAGGTGAAGATGGCTTTGTGGAAAATTTAACTGTAGCTAAAAACACAAACAGGGACATCTTGAATACCAGAGAAACTCTACATCTTGATCATTTTAAAGTAACGTATTTTTAACTAGATGCAAGAATCAGCAGGTAAAATAGATAATCAAGTCTAGTTCCTGTTACAGATGACATGAGCAGAAAATGATTTAAAACAGTGTTCAAATCTGGAATTATTTTTACATTTTGTCTACTCCAGGTTTTATAGCCTCTGTGTGATTAACTCACAATAATCAGTGCAGTTTTTTTGCTCCTGATTGGACATACTGAGGTTTTCTACAGCCACTCTTCACTATACCCAACCATACCGAAAACTGTGACTCTGAATTATTCCACCGTAATGTATACAAATATTCACTTCAGTCTTTTTCTTTTTAAAAGAAAAAGAATCTAGCATGGAATGTTAAAAGTAGCCTTACTGGCTTTCGTGTGCCAAAGTTTGAGGATGTAACATGAGAGCTGAAGAAAACCAGTCGAATGTGTAACCTCTAAATTGTCCTGAATCGCTCCAACAAAACTTTCTCCATTTTACTGAATATCAGCAGAGAACTTTAGCACTTGTTGTATCTGTTGCTTTTTGTCTTGTTCTCAGTTAAACCCGATTTATTTTTAGACTTTTAAACGACGGGAAGCTCTGAGGCATGAACCAGGCATGCGTATGGAGGCTCACACCTCAGCTTTTTATTTATGTTTGAAACATGTCTCAAAATTAAAATATTTCAGGAGGAACAAAATATTGAACTCATTTCTGCGATGATACTTTATCTACCAAGAAGTGACACAACCTTTGAGCAAAGTTTTTCAGACTTGTGTGTTATATTTCTAATTATTATGAAAGATATATTTATATATAATATGTGGTATATTTTATGTCTGTTTGAGCACATGGAAATTCTCTCCATTTTTCTCGCTATAGTTTTGCTAAACACCACAACCACATGGCCTTTATTGTGTGCCATATTTCTGTTTAAAAGCAATGATCTCTTGTCTTTTTTTTTTTTGTGCCTTTTAGTGTTTTTGTGTCTAAAAGCATTGGTAGAATATTAAATAACCCTGATATGGATCCCTGATCCTCTGAAACCTTTATGTTTTCATCATTCAGGTCAAATAATCCAACACACCAAGTACATAAGGCAGCCCTGATGCATCACTAGCCAGAGCTCAAATGCTTTCACCTTAACAACCTCAAAAACTGACATTTCTATAAAATATGAAATATTTTTAAAAGTTCATTATGCTATAAAAGGTTTTCAAATAGATTTTTTTGCTAACTTTTGATCTATTTAGAAGAAATCTTGGTTTGAAGTTCAACATAGCAAGACGAGCTATGTCTGTTTGAACCAAAGGACACGACGTCTACTCTGTATTTTTATGCTCGTATCAAATTTTGTAACAGATTCAACATGAAAATGTCTCGGACTGTAATGTGACACTTGCTTTGTTTGTATTTATTTTTAAACATCCTACAAAGTATTTCATCACTTTGTCATTGTATCTTTTGCTAATAAAGAGAATGTGAAATGACTTTGGTAAAAATGTTTCAATAAAACAAGCTGAGGAATCTGAATGCAAGAATACCTTGAACAGGTAAACACAGAGTCACATGACCAACAACCAGATGTTGACCATTTGAGCAAACCAAGAAGAAGAAGATGACAGGAAGTAGTTGGAGGGCCATCTTTTTAAACAATTTGTCACATGAACAAACTTTTTCATGTGTGATTTAAATTTTTTATTGAATGGAATCACTACAATTACAAAATTGTGTATTTTTGACACTATCAGAATATTGACAAACTTTTGCCCACATTTGTAATGGAAACTCAGCTGCTGTCATTTAATGGTCTGTCCATCTTCCAGTGTTCATTGGCTTTTTCTAGCCAATGAAATCCTAGTATTTGAACAGCAGTATTTGAACCGTTGTCGGTCTAACTCTCATCAAAACGCCCACATAATGTCATATTTTGGTCTGTCTGAAGATGTCATTTTTAAATATTAAAAGATTGATGCTTAGATCAGTTACTCAGTACTTGAGTAGACTTTTTAGCAAATACATTTACTTCAGTGAGAACATATTAAAGTATTTCTACTTTTACCTGAGCACAGTTTGATGCTGCTCCGCCCCCTTCAGGCTGTTGGAGCTGTGATGTGCTTTGGACCCGTCTGAACCACAGCTTCCATCAAGACGGGTGGGACAGTCGCCATTTGTTTCCAGGGGAGACGAGGGTTGGCTTTGTTTTTCTGACAACTTCTTTACATCTTGATTGAACGTTTCTCATTACACTGTGCTGCCAGGCTGTTTTCAAGGTGAACATTTCATTTTGTCTTGTGGACAGGCAATGAAACAAATGAAAATGCAGTCCAGGTTCTTTTATAATCTCTTTAAAAAAAAAAAGGGGGGAAAAAAAAGCTGGTTGAGGACCAATTGAGTTTTACATTTTCTGTTTTTGAAGAAATAAATTAAATCTAATCTCCCTCAGTTCAGCCTTTCCATTACTTCACATGCACAATATATCCTTGTGAAAGAAAAAAAAAAGTCTGCCTCTGTATTCTCATCACGTTTTCCCCAAATCCTGAACAAAATAAAACCTTCAGGTCTATCGATTTCTTTAGAGGATCACATTTTCTACCTAAACTGGTTAATAATATCACTATGAAAGTGAAGATCAAGGTGAACGAAGGGTGAGAGAGGCACAGAAAAGCAGGGGGGAAGTAAGAGCTATTCCTATTGAGATTAATTGCTAATTCTGGGATTTCTTGCTTCAGAAACCTTGCTTCATGTTGCAGTGAGGAAAGAGGATTTTCAACTCCATGCTGTCTAAAGAGTTCAACTGGGAGAAGTGAGAAAAAGACGAGGGTTATCTCAATAGGCCATCATCTAGTAGATTAATCGTCAGGGTAGGGATGACAGGACAGACATGAGAAAAAGGATACATATGGACACATTTGGGTGCAAACTGAAATGATTTAAAGGGGCAGTATTATGTGTCTTCCAGACACGTAGCACAGTCAGTTACTTGATTGTACCATTTTATAACACAATCAAGTAACTGTTAACTTCAGTTATGAGAATGCTACATGTATCACATTTGACTTCAAAGAATTTTGGCTTTGTAATTTAATGCCCTGGAATGGGGCCTCTGTCCCTTTAAAGTGTAACGAGACACCGATCACCTCATCTAAAAGCTAAACCCCGCCCCTGGCAAGTTTTAAAAAATTGCTGGAGCCAGGAGACACGGCCGAGTTTCAGGATGAATGGAGGGGGTGGGTCGGGCTGTGATCAGGACAAAGAAATGATGTCACCTTATCCATTTTGTCACCAGTGGTCAGAGCAGAGCAGACCCGTTCCACTCCATGTTCACATGGTAACTCAATCACATATGTAAAGCTGAGTAATATTTAGGTGTGTAAGAGCAAATAAGCAGCACAAGAAAGACTGATGTATCAAATGATCCGAAATAATGCCCTTCAAAAATAAAGACTTGTAGGGAAACAAGATGCTGGTCAGAAGTTTACATATGCTTGACAATGGCCGTAAATAGACTCGTAATTTTGGACTGATCAAATTTTCTAGCCTTTACATAACTGTAATGGTTTTAAAAACAGGAATTGAGTGCACAAGTGCAAGGAACAGCAGAGTACAGTGACAGAGAACAGAATAATCTGGGAGGGAGGAAATGAAACTGACTGGCTTCGAAGTGCACAAAGAAGCGTCAGCAGAGATCCTCCCTCTTGCTCTAAAC